TAGCTGCTGTAAACCTCTTTCCTTGGTTTGGTCACTTCTCTACAAATTTTTCTCTTTGAAGACGCTGTATATTCTGGAGTTCCAGGCTAACACTTCTGGTCACTTTCTCTCACATGCTGTGTGCTACACGCGTCAGTAAACTTTTTCCTCTGGTCAATCTGTCTTTTTGTTCCAGAGCCTGTCTCGGTACATTTGTGCTGCTAAAACACAATACATAGGAGCACAGACTAATTTATACTAAACACAAATGTGTTGGTTCACCGTTCTTTTTTTTTTTTTTTGAGACAGAGTCTCACTATGTCACCCTCAGTAGAGTGCTGTGGTGTTACAGTTCACAGCAACCTCAAACTCTTGGGTTTAAGCTATTCTCTTGTCTCTGCCACCCAAGTAGCTGGGATTACAGGCACCCACCACAGTGCCCAGCTATTTTTTTGTTGTAGTTGTCATTGTTGTTTAGCTGGCCCCAGGCTGGGTTCAAACCCACCAGCTTCAGTGTATGTAGCCGGCACCCTAACCACTGGGCTACAGGTGCCAAGCTGGGTTCACAATTCTTGAGTCTGGAAAGCCCAAGGTCCTGGAACTAGGACCTGGCAAGGGCTTTCTTACTCTGTCCTCGGGTGGCCAAAAAGCCACCACATGGTGGAAGGGCAAACAGAGGGCATGAGAAAGAGAGAGAAAGAGGGTGAGCCAGCTCCTGTTCAAGGCACCACTCCCTCAGTAACCAAACCACTTCCCCTACAACGGCATTAATCCCCTCACAGGGCAGAGTCCTCAAGGGCTAATCACACCTCAGTAGGCCCCACCTTCCAACACTGTTACATTGGGGATCACATCTCCATCACGTGAACTTTCGGGGACAGATTCAAACTGCCGCAGAGCCCCAGCTGAAAAGTTAAGATAGTTAAAGGCAAAATTTTGCTTTCCCTCCAAGTCCTAGGCTCAAAAATGGCATACTGGAACTTGTGGCACATTCTATTGGCCAAAGCAAGTCACAGGAGATTCAGAGGTGGAGAGTTTGAGGGCTGTAAAGATGGCTCTTGTACCCACGTGAGCTGTTGTCATATAGCAAGAAGCGTGGAGATCGCAGCCTTGATGGTAGTCCTTGGGGCAGTCATCCCTACACCAAGCCAGAGGTCTGTGCCCCATCACAGCCTTGGACAGTCCCTAGCAATGAGACTTCCCCGTCATGACTATATCCTAACAGTGACCAGGCACATGTGATCAGCAACCCAAGTACCTGCCTACCCTGAGCTACCAGCCTGGCCTTTATGGTCCCCAGTCAGCCAGGTGACCCTGTCTTTGTCCTGAAACCTGTTCTGGGCTCAGGCCAGGCTTTCCCGGAATGCCTCATGTGCAGGGACCACATTCAGGACCCAGTCATCCGTGCCCTGGCACCCTGGGAGTCAGGGGAGAATGGATTAGTCATAAAGCAAAGAGCATGGATACAGAGAGGTCATTAATCCTAATCCTGGATACAATCTGTGACTGAGGCAGGGGAGAAGGCCGCTTGTGGGATGCCACTGTCAGGTGGGCTCTGAGTCCTCCCATCAAGGGCTTCCTGAACCCCACTTAGTTTGGGGCGGCATGAGCCTCATGCTCATTCTTTCGTGGCTGAACAAACTATATGGGCTGTTGGTTCCTACACTGACTCCTCCACTCGCCAGTGGAGTCCTTCCATGTGGTGACCATCGGTTGCTTTTATCCCCAGTGCCCAGGTCAGGGCAGGGTATGGTTGGGGAACTGTGGGGAATGCCGGGAGGAAAGACCCAGTGTCCAAGCCATCTGCCCACCACACCCCTCCAGTGTTGTGGTCTTTGAGATGTTTGTAGCCAGTTGCCAGGAGAGCTCCCTAACTCCCAAGATCAATGTCATTGTCAGGGTCAAATGATCTGGCCTTCCAAGCCTGTCCATCTTCATCCCCAGCAAGAATTACTTGTTAGAACTTCATCTCTAATACAGTGTTGGAAGTTAGGACCTATTGAGGATGATTAGGCTATGAGGACTCTGCATCAGGAAGGGATTACTGCTGTTATTGCAGGAGTGGGTTATTAAGGCAGTGATGCTTTATGCAGGTCACCAGGAAAGTTTTGAAACAGACTGTTATGGTTCATAATTTCACTTCCAAGAAATATAGTCGACAGAATCCTTTCTGATTCACCTGTGCAAGTTCCATCTTGCTTAGCTTATCTGTGTTGTTGGGAGGGCTTCATTTATTTCCATCTGCATGGATTTTATATTTCTTTCTTTTCTTTGAGACAGAGTCTCACTCTGTTGCCCTCGGTAGAGTGCTGTAGCATCACAGCTCACAGCAACCTCAAACTATTGGGCTTAAGCAATTCTCTTGCCTCAGCCTCCCAAGTAGCTGGGACTACAGGCACCCACCACAATGCCTGGCTATTGTTTTGTTGCAGTTGTCATTGTTATTTAGCAGGCCTGGGCCAGGTTTGAACCTGCCAGCCTCGGTGTAGATGGCCAGCACCCTACTTACTGAGCTATGGGTGCTGAGCCAGGAGTTTATTATATTTCTTGATTTTTATGTAAAGTACTCACTGAACCTTTCTGTCTCTTTTGCACATCCTTCTACCATGTGGTACCTCTGGCCACACTAGGACACAGCACAAGAAAGCCCTTGCCAGATGCTGGCCTCTGGACCTCAGACTTCCCAGCCTCCAGAACTGTGAGTCAATATACTATTTTAGTACAAATTACCCAGTCTGTGGTTTTGTGTTTTAGCAGCACAAACATACTATCAGGCTCTACAACTGAAGTGAAAGATGTAAGCTTGAATCCTAGCTTATCTGCTAAATCTATATGACTTGAGCCTTTCTGCTATGGTCTAAGTGTTTTTGTCCACCCAATCCCCTCATCTCTTTATTATTATTATTTTTTTAGAGACAGAGTCGCCTTCTTCTCAGTAGAGTGCTGTTGTGTCACAGCTCACAGCAACCTCCAGCTCTTGGGCTTAGGTGATTCTTTTGCCTCAGCCTCCTGAGTAGCTGGGACTACAGGTGCCCACCACAAACCTGGCTATTTTTTGTTGCAGTTTGGCTGGGGGCCAGGTTTGAACCCGCCACCCCTGGTATATGGGGCCAGCACCCTACTCACTGAGCCACAGGTGCCACCTGGGACCCCATCTCTTCAAAAAGAAAACGATAAAGGGCAGCACCTGTGGCTCAGAGGAGTAGGGTGCTGGCTCCATATACCGGAGGTGGCAGGTTTAAACCTGACCTCGGCCAAAAAGAAAAAGATAAAGTACTTCTGCTCTAATGGCTTTAATAGACTAAGGTACTTTCTAAAGCTGCAGAATACCAAATAATAAATTGGTGATTTAAAATACCTCCCCCATGTTTTATGACCACTGAAGCTTCTAAAGTGGGGAGGATTCTTCAACTGGCTTTAGCATCAAGCCAGTATATATGTGTTTACTGTAAGGAAGCAGAAAATGCCAGATCCTCCTTGTCCCACCTGCTTCCTAGTGAGGGATCAGTACACAGTCCAAGTCTCACCAACCTAAGGCCACACTCAGGCTGAGAATCAAAAGCTAGTGGCCACCAGCATCCCTTGGGGCAACTGAGGGCGCCTAACCATGAAGGCAGCTCCCTCATTTCAGAGGTGAAGGGTCAGAAGTTCTGGTGGCCAAAGTCTCAGTCTAAGAGCAGCTCTGTGGCCCAGTGTAATTTGGGGTTCATTTGTGGGGACTCAAATATGCTTTCTTGTCCTTCTCGGAGGTTCTGTGAACTTTTCTTTTAAGCATATCATGCACTTCTTGGCTCTAATTTCCTGAGCTCAGGACTAAACCTACACATACAGTGTCCCTCCAGTAAGCCCCTTTGCTGCCAGAGCTGGGTGCCCTGGGTTGCAGGCAGGAATCTTACTCTGGCCTAGAAGTTCCAAGGAAGACAGAAGCAGCCCCCACACAGCCTTTTTTCTTTCAACCTCCTGGCAAACTTGCCTAGTGACATTCACCCCACGACCGGCCCCACCTGCCTTCCAGGCATTGATCCTGCCGCCAGCCTCTTGCTCTGGCACCTGCTACACCTGGGTTTGTGCCCAGCCCTCTTCAGCCCTCTCTCCTGGCACCTTTCTTCCCCACTACTTCCCTCTGGGCTTATCCAGGTCGACAAGCTTTGGGCCCAGAATTTACAGCCTCCTGCGTCCCTCCCTGAGCTATGTCCCTGATCATGACTCTGCCAGCTGTTCCCTAAAGCGAATAAGATGGAAAAACCTGATCCTTCTTCATCCAAGAGACGGGTCACTGCCAACCAGATTCACCCTCTTTCCCCACTGGAGTGTGAGAGCAAAAATCCCTCTTCTCCCAACTTCTTTCTTTTCACTGTATGACCTTGAACAAGTCCCTTCACATCTGAATTTGCCTTTCAAACTTTGCAGGCTGTAAACTCTAATTTGCATCACACAGGTAAAATATGATGTTCATTTCTGTAAGTAGTTTTGTCTGATTTCTCACTGAAGACACAGGGGAATATAAAGGCCAATGGTTTTGATGGAGTGTGGAGTCACAGTTATATGGAGAAGGGAATCCAGGTTTTGCAGGTGTGTGTGTGTGTGTGTGTGCACCCCACGCATAGTGCACAGCCTTCACGGGTCAGACACTGCAGTGCCCTTTTCGCTCACAGTCAGGGCTGGGCAACCCCTCTCCGCTGCTGCAGGATCAATTCCAGAGGAAGAGAGAGTGAAGAGGAAAGAGAGGCTTGAGTGGAACCCAAGTCATTGGAACTTTCTCCGTGTGGTCAAAGAAAGTGGGGGCAAAATTTTCACTTTCCATGAAGAGTGCACCTGATGGGAATTCGGCTCATAAAAAGGGCTGCAAGAAAAGCCAAGAACACACTCAGTTCTCTCCCACTTCAGGGAGGACGCCTCACACTCCCAGTCCCTAGCTGAGGAAGCATCCGCTTCCCTGCGTGCCCCACCTACCTCTGAACCATGCACTCGCCTCACAGGCCTAACAACAGCCACAACTGGGGCCTCGATTGAGGCACAGGCTAAGAGGTGGTGGATGACACCCAGCTGAAGCTGCTCGGGCCTCGAGGCAGCAGCAAATCCAGGGCGAGGTCGCGCTGCTCGTTCTCAGAGGACACTGGCCGGTAGCCCAGCAGCTGCAGCGCCCCTGCGCACAGCTCCTGCACACGCCGGATCTTGGCGAAAGGCAGCGTGTGGCGCCAGGCCTGGGAGACGTTGAGCGCGTTCCTGGACGTGGTCTGGAAGGCTTCCCGGCGCGCTCCAGGTCCCGCCCCGTGCGTGATGTTGTGGATCCAGGCCTCGAGCTGTGGCGTGAGGTTCAGGCCAGTGAAGGCGTAGAGCTCACGGATCTCCGCCAGAGGATCCCGCGCCAGGTCCTCGAAGCGCACCAGGCGGTAGCGGCCCTGCAGGAAAGGCGGAGGCTTGAGCGTGGCGACCTCAGCGATGCGCACGTGGCTGCGGCACACCTCCTGCACCACGCGCAGCCCGGGGTCGGCCTCCACCCATGTGCCATTGGTGCCCAGTACGATGCCGTTGTCACGCGCCAGAGCCTTGGCCGTCTGCTCACGCGAGCGCAGCACAGCCCGTGGGTCGCGCACCAGGTGCACGATGCGCAGGTTGAGTGCGGGGTCGCGCAGCAGCGGGTAGAGCACCCGCAGGTTGAAGAAGCGCACCTCCTTGAGCACCACGTGGCTGTAGGAGCGGCAGGCCTCCTGAGCCAGCCCGAATGGCCGCCGCGCGCACAGTGGCTTGCACACGGCCTCGCTGCTGATGGCGCCGCGGGGGAAGGCGCTACAGGCAGGCGGCGAGCACAGCGCGCGGCTCACTGCCCACTGGAAGAGGTCTGACAGATTGTGGCTGCGGCGCCAGGGCAGGTAGGCATCGAACACGTCCATGTCGCACAGGAAGACTGAGCGGATCAGGTCGCGCACGGCCATGTGTAGCGCCGAAGCGCTGCCCTGCGACAGGGTGGCCCACACGTGCCAGGCAGGCTCCATCAGATAGAAGACATCAGGGTGCTGGCTGAAGAGCTGGCCCACGAAGGAGGAGCCTGAGCGCCACGAGGACAGCACCAGCACGTGCACTCGCTCCTGGTTGCCGGCTGAGGATGACGGCCCTGACCTCGAGACCAGAAAGAGCAGGAGGCAGGTCTGCGCCAGCAGGAGCGCGGTCACCGCTGAGCTGGACACACGCGGTAGCCACATGCTGCCCGCCTGGGTGCCTTCGGAAGGAAGCGCAGCAGTTAGGGATCTTGGCCTTCACGCAAATCCTAAGACCCAACTACATACCCAGTGTTCCCAGGGAGCAGCCCCCAAACTTGGCCACCCAACACGAGGGGCCTGAATAACACGATGATCGCCATCTCTTCTTGCAGGCGAAGTTAAGACATAAGCCATGATCTGGTCGTCTATGCTGACAGCAAATGTCCGGTTCCAGCACAGTGTGGGATCTACCTACTCTGTATTGGACAGGGAAGTATTATTTTTCATACTGAATTCTCGTTTTTGCTTAAGAATTTCTCTTAGGGAGACATTTCAAGGTTGTTGAGCTAAGTGGCTTGATGGACACTTTGGTGGTTGTCAGAGTTTCCCTGCAGTTGAATCCTGACTGTCACTTTTGAGCCTGAGATCATGGGCCGAACATTTAATTCCCCTGTGACTCAGTTTGCCCATGTGTAAAGGGAGATAATACTGGTACCTGGCTCTTAGGATTTTGGAGGAATATGGCAGGGGAGGGAGCATGTAGTAATACCCATGGCTGACGACCTGCCTTTTCTACTTACTGTGCTTCTACATGTCATATATATATATTTTTTAACAAGCTGGTACAACTTATGTTATTAAAAATAATCAAATTTAGGCCTACATGAGGAAAATAAATGTTTTAAAAAGCTAAGATGTGGGCCAGGTGCGGTGGCTCACGCCTGTAATTCTGGTACTTGGGAGGCCAAGGCGGATGGATTGCCTGAGCTCACAGGTTCGAGACAAACCTCAGCTAGAGCAAGACCCCCTAAATGACAGGGCTGTGACTCAAATCCAGCCCTCTGTCCTCCAACCTTCATGCCCACTTCGAAAAATGCCCAGGTTAGGCCTGGGGAGGGTAGCTCTGCTCCCACCTCTAGGGAGCTTTCTGTGTGCATAGCTATAATACCTAAAAATTGCTGGGTGTTGTGGTGGGTGCCTGTAGTCCCAGTTACTCGGGACTATAGGTAGTTACTGTGGTTCATATTTTTCTCTGAGGCAAGAGAATCGCATGAGCCCAAGAGTTTGAGGTTACTGTGAGCTATGAGCAAGACTGTCTCAACAACAACAACAAAGCAAAGCCGTGAAGTGGACAAAGAGCACCAACAGTTGCCATCAGCCACGGGGAGTGAAGTGCTGGAGGCAGCATGGCCTCCAGAGTGAGGGTGTCCTCCCAGAGCCTGGGGAGTTTGCAAGGACACCAGGTGAGGGGAGCTAGGATGGACCTGGGGAAGCAGTGACGTGAAGGCAGAGTCCTGTCCCAGGCCTGCTGAAGGGACTCACTCCTGTCCAGGGCTGCTGGGAGACTGATCACAAATCCATGGGAGTAATCTAGAGGTTCTCCAGGACCTAGAAAAATAGGAGGGATGGCTTCAGATCCCCCAGGAAGAGGTATTATAGCTATGCACACAGAAAGCTCCCTAGAGGTGGGAGCAGAGCTATCCTCCCCAAGCCTAACCTGGGCATTTTTCTAAATGGGCATGAAGGTTGGAGGAGAGAGGGCTGAGTCACAGCCCTGTCATTTAGGAGCTGTGAGACCTGTGGCAAGTGACTTAAGTTCCCCAAGGCTCAATTCCCATCTCTCTAACAGGGAGCTTGCAGCTTTTTGCCTCTTAGGTTGGGTGTGAGGAAGGCTGCTGCCAGCCCCTGTGAGGGGAGGGCTTGGTGCAGTATCCAACACAGATCCACCTCGCTGTGACTGTTAAGTGTTGAACTATGTCTGGAGAAAGCCCCTGTCCCTGAGAGGTCTCTGCCCAGATGAGACACACTCAGGTCACCTATGCTTCAAATCCCAGCATGTCCCAGGCTGTCCTCTAGTCTGGAAGCACCCCTGGGCCAGTTAGTGGATCCCTTAAGATTGACATGCATGTCTGCAGGGTGGAAGGAACTCTGAGGCCAGCTCCCTGATCCTGAGATCCTGGAACAGTTTCCACTTGCACCTGTTGCATCTGCAGTGATCTCGTGCAGGTGACTTTGGAAGGGAAGGGCCTGGAAATTTCTTCATTGCCTCTGCACCATTTGCTTCCATTTTGTTGTGTCCACGTCACCACTAAGAGGAGCCAGGTCTGACTTGTGAGCAGACCGTGTCTCTGCTTCTTCCCCTTATCCAGAGGTAGCAGCAGGAGTATGCCCAAGACTTCTGTCACCTGCTGACAATAGAGCTGCTTCCTGGACCCCATGCCCAGCCCAGAAAACCTGGGAAAGAGGGAGAGTAGCCACCCACCTGCACTGCACAAGTGATCAACACTCCTTGAGTACCAGCTGATAGATGGTGGGTTCCCCTGAGAACGGGGTGCTGGAAAGGGAGGAACTTATATTTGGTGACTAAAATTACAAGTCCTAGATGCTTCAAGTCCACTGGATGGTTGATTTAACTCAATGGCCCACGTGATGGGCATTAGGATATCAGTTTTTCAGGTGAAAGACTCAATCTTAAGGAGACAGCAGTGAAGATGGGACCACAGCCCAGATTCCTGTTTCTAGGCCCCTGGCACCTCGGATGCTACCTCCTCCTACCCCTGAGTGCTCCTTGCAGAGGGCAGGACCCCATTGCTTTGGCTCTAGTACAGCTGCCCTGGCCCACCTCAGCCTTCCCCTGAGTAGGAAGGATCTTTACTGCAGGTCAAGGCATTTTGCACCTGTATTCCAGGATAGCCAGAGGTCTTCTCAAGTGACACACACACTACAGCAATTGCTATCTGATGCACTTATTGGAACTTGAAACTAGGAGGGAGATTGAAACATTGTATGCCCCAAAGATACCCAGAAGACCAGCTCCTGGCTGGGAGGTTTCTGATAAATGGCCTTATGTTCAGTTCAGCATACAGGACAACAACCCAAAGGTTCAAAGTTAAGGACAACAACCCAGGGGTTTACAGTTTTTTGGTTTTTTTCTACAGACAGAGTCTCATTTTGTCACCTGGTAGAGTGCCATGGCATCATAGCTCATAGTAACCTCCAGCTCTTGGGCTTAGGCAATTCTCTTGCCTCAGCCTCCCAAGTAGCTGGGACTACAGGTGCCCATCACAACACCCAGCTATTTTTTTTGTGTGTGTGTGTGGCAGTTGTCATTGTTGTCTAGCAGGCGGGGCCAGGTTCGAACCCACCTGCCTCCATGTATGTGGCCACACCCTAACCACTCAGCCAGGGACGCTGAGCCATATCATTTCTTGTATATCTGTTTTATTGTGCTTGGATTCAAACTGCCTTAGATTTTGTAATAGAAGAGTTGAAAGATACAATTGAGGAAATGTAAAAAGTAGAACAACAACAAAAAAAAAAAGATGGAAAAATGGATAAAAGATGGAAAATACAGAAAAGATAAGAAAGGAAGAGATTCAGTCCAGGAAGTTCAATGCCCAGAGTCCCTATCCTGGTGGAGCTGCCAGTGTAGTTGAGGACATTAAAGACAAACCATTGTGATGGTCAGGGGACCAGATAGTGATCCCAGAGAATGGCCTATCATGGAAGGCTCACACTAGTCCTGGCCGAGTCCTGCTTCCCCTCTCCTGGATTCTGTCAGAATCCCCCACCTGGAGCCCTCTGGTGCATCTCTACAGAGACACCAGAGCTGCCCACTCCACACATCTGATCATGCCTTCTCCACTCAGCCACTGGCAGCTTTCCACCTCACTTCCTGAACGCTCTGCTTCAGATGACCAGGAATCATCAGGGTTCGTCAAACACTCTCCAGGCTCCCCTGCCCCTGTGCTGGGAGTGCCCCCCTCACTGACTCAGGACTGTGTGCGGGGCCTGGCCCTGGCAGACCAGCCTGGTCCCCACGTCCTGGCTGATCTGTCACCTCTCTGCCAGTGCCCACGATGCAGCTGCCTGGCATCCACAGAGACTGGGGGCAGCAGTTATGCAGCCCAGATGCTAATGGAGGAAACAGATCTGCCTTCTAGAAGCCACCAGGAAATGAATTCTAATTAGTCTGGGAAAGGAGCCTCAAGTCTCCCTGGCTCAGAGCTGCTCTGAGGTGGAATTTGGAACAGCTGAGGGGAATTCAACATATAAACCCCTATCCTTGGCTCTGAGCTTTGAAGATCCTTGAAATACACTTAGGACAGCATCTAATTTAGTCTAAATCAGAGAGCCTTGCGGCTAGAGGACTCTGAAGTTTCTGGGCTCCAACCTATTCTCTGTAGCAACGCACACAGGTGGAACAGTGCATTTAGCATGTTCTCCCATGCTTCCCTAGGTAGTACCAGAGCGCTCTTACTACATGGATAATCTGGAATGTTCTCTGGTTAATTCTATTAACATTTATTTATTTATTTATTTATTTATTTTTTGAGACAGAATCTCACTATGCTGCCCAAGCTAGAGTGCCGTGGCATCAGCCTAGCTCACAGCAACCTCAAACTCCTGGGTTCAAGCAATCCTTCTCAGTAACTGGGATTACAGGCACCTGACACAACCTGACCCATTCCTACAGGCAAGATGGTCCAGGGACTGTTAGGAACTGTGTAAGACTCAGTTCCAAATTTTTTCCTGGGTAACGAGTTAGCCCGGGTAACGAGTTAGCCCAGCTAACTATTCTATTTTTAGTAGAGATGGGGGTCTTTTCTTGCTTAGGCTGGTCTCAAACTCCTGGGTTCAAGTGATCCTCCTGCCTCAGCCTCCCTTGAGTGCTAGGATTACAGCCATGAGCCATCATACCTGGCCCCTATTAATGTTTTAGATTCATTATTATTATTATTTTTAATTTTTTTTGTTGCAGTTTGGCCGGGGGCTGAGTTCGAACTCACCACCCTCGGTATATGAAGCTGACACCCTACTCACTGAGCCACAGGCGCCGCCCTAGATTCATTATTTTTAAAGAGTAAGTCATTCATACAAGCCAGTGACATAAAAAGCAAATAAAGAGATCATGTTAGAAGAAAATGATGCAAAACATCTTACAGCCAAATACAATGTGTGGACCACGTTTGGATTCTGATTCCAACAAACCAGCTAAAAGA